TCAACGAAACCCGTATTGCCACCAGCAGCTGTACACGCAGTCAGCCACACACACACACCGCTTGTGAGTACATGTTCATCTATATACATATACATATACATATATTGTCACATCACTACAAACTAAAAGAGCGCACTTTGCGGAACAAAGAATAAAAGCAAAAAACGGGCACAGTGATAACATGCAAAAAGAAAAAGAAAAAGAAAAAACAAGGGCAGATTGAAACCATTAAATTTCTCATTCTTCTTTGAACTCCACCTCCACTGTGCCTCTCACGTGCAAGGCTCGCCACGTTGATGAAGTTGAGCGCGAGCTGCCCCCATCCCCGCATAACAGCCCACTTGCACGCTGTGAGAGAGGCAGAGTGAAGGGGAAGGTGTTAAACACAGGGTCTGATGGTGTATACAACGGCCGATTGAGAACGCGAAGGCAGCTATTAGTTGCAGTCAGACCACAGAGATTGGCGGGGATCTCAGGCTGATTTTGTTGGTCAGTCATTTGTCGATCACCCGTGGGGTCTGCGCAGGGTGGTGCACAAGTATGCGGTTCATCCATATGATCCTGGTCAGCCATTTGCAAATCCCTCGTGGGGTCTACGCCATGCGGGATTAAATGCAGTCCAAGCAGATCATGTTCCAGTCCCTCAGCGTTTGGGGCCACACAGGGTGGGGTACAAGTACGCGGTTCATCCATATGATATATAAGATATGTATATATATATCGTCACAAATAGAACTGCCCGGTAAACCGTAGGCAGAGAGAGAGAAGAGGACAACAAACGAGGGGCTGTGACAAACTGTTTATATATATATTTTTTTTAACTCCAATTATGAATAGAGTCTTCAAGAAATGAGTATTATCGAGTTATGGTACACATAATCTATTTGTCAAATATAGATTGTGAATTTTAGATATAGCAAAATCTAGAAAACTACTCATCAAAGTATGAAACAAGCAATCATGGCTAATCGTCCCCAAAACAGAACCATCAATGCCACTGTCTCCATAAGGAAGAGAAGCGAAGAGTGGGTCTTCAACTGTAAGGAGTGCTGGACCAAGTTTCCAACTATTGTACAATCAAAAAAAAAAAAAAAAAAGAGGTTTATTAAATAAAAAAGAAGAAAAGTGTACGGAGATACAGCTTATGGATCCTTAGGGACCTTCTAAGCAGTCAGTGGCGGAGTGAACCCCCGATCCAATGTACCTGCTGCACTTGTGAACACTATGACACAACCCACAGTACTCAGTATAGCATCCTACCGTTGCCCTCAACCAGTTTGGCTAATTCTCTGATCGCCATTTGAAAGCTGGGTACTTCTCCCTTTTGGCCTTTTCAATGTATTCCGTCAGGCATTCAACGCGTGCTCCACACAAAGTACACGGACGCCATCACTGTAAACAGGGTTAACTAGAAATGAACGACTTTTTTTTTATGATTTATGAATGAGCACTGGGGCATGCGTATGTGCATGCCACCAAGCCTTACCATATATTCGACACTGCTGCTGAATACGCCCGTACACCTGAACAGGAGTCATCCCACTGCCCTTGAACTTGGTGTTTGCAGCTTGTCTCTCCACACATGCCTTGATATCCAAGGCATACAACTTTTGACAACTCGGCAAACAGAATGCGTACGTTTCCTCCATCGGCACAACCACATCTCCATCCTTGCTGATATACGAATTAGGCGGGCATGCCACCTTTGCCTGATACAGTTCCACGTTGCAACACGGCAAGCCTCGGTTCGTTAGTAGGCGTGCAACTTGTGCAGGGAACTCTTGGTGAGAAAAACATCGGACGACAGAGAACATCTTTCTTTCCTTTTTTTTTTTTTTTTTTTTTTTTCTGGCCTACGTGTACATGCCACAGAAATCACCAAGTGTACTGCACCGCAAATCACATGAGAGAACGGACACCAACCGGAACCCCCTCTTTTTTTTTCCTTTTTTTTTTTGAAAAAAGGAATGCCTGCCAGAAATGATTGCCCTGGACACAAAGCATCAAACAGCAGACATCAGCATTCCCACATTCTGGTAAACAACAACTGTGATGAACATGTTTTAACTTTTAACAGAGTGGCGCAATCCTAGGCGGACGAGCCAACTGGCCGGTTCATCCGGCAGACACTTTATCAGTAATTCCCGATAACGGATTTCAGGACCAGAGGCTTTTTTATTTTTTTCTTTCCCAACTGGGGTGATTGTGCATAATGTCCCCTCACTCCATAAATATGAAAACACAAATTCCGTGCAGTGTGCACTTTTTCGTGCAATGGCGGCAATGCTATCCTAAGTGCACTACTCACTATACCGCAGAGAGGGATTGACTCAGCAATCTTTGCAGATTGTCTGCTACTCATGCATCTCTGGAGGACTATTCACCACAATTCTTATCCAGCAATCTTTGCAGATTGTCTGCTACTCATGCATCTCTGGAGGACTATTCACCACAATTCTTATCCAGCATCTGATTTTCATAAGAATATCTAACTGCAAACTTGCTGCCTCTGAAAGAGTCTTAACTTCTCTGAAGGCAATCTGCTTGGTTGCGACACCGATCAGCCTTGACGACATCCAGAAGGCAATATATTGTCACAAATTTATGAACTACAAGAGCGCACTCGTGCAAAACAAGCGATAAAAATACACAGGACAAACATGAAGTACACTGAAACCATTCATTTTTATCGTTCTTCTTTCTAACCACAAGTACACGCCCCCAGCCTTACAATCCGAATCTTGTCGCCACAAGAAAACGAGACCGAAACGTCAAACACTGGGCCCGCCATTGATAAATTCGATCGGCGGCCTCGTTTTGTTTCGCGCCTCCAGAATTTGAAGTGTCAGACCCACGGCCCAGGTGCCCATGTACTGGTGCTTCAACTCCCCCTGCTAGGACGTACATCACACATATCCCTTGCAGCAGTGCTGTTGTCTGTATTTTAATGCAACATATCAAACGAAGAGAAGAAAGGACTCAAGAAATGCAAGGACAGCTACTTCAAAAAAAAAGCAGGCCATGTATAACAGAGATGCAACAATTATCTAGGTCAGCATGCTCAGGGAAACACACACAGAGTGGAGAGGATGTTCAATCAGATATGACGGTGTGCGAGTCACAGCATAATTGCTAGCGTCTCTCAGGTAGATCAAAAGAACTTTACCACCCAAGAGCCTAGCTCAGTGGGTACACCCATGAACTGTTGAAATACAGACCAGGTGCTGTGTTCGAATCCAGATGATGGAACTTGATTGACGAGTAAAACCAACTACTAATGAATTGCCTCAGGCCGGTCAGCTCAATGATAATATCTCAAGGCCGTCGCCCTTCAAAAAAAAAAAAAAAAAAAAAAAAAGAACTTTACCGATCCGAAACAGGCAGCAACAGCGTCTGGGCGAGGCATCGGTTGAGTTGCACATCCTTCAAATGTACCCTGGCACAATGATGGCCTCGCAGGTGCACTGTCCACCAATGGCCCTGTTGTCTTGGGTGCACCTGTCACAAGTACCAGTACAACAACAAACACAGATACAACAAGATGGCAAACATGAAGTAGATGGACGTGCACACGCGTGGTGAGTGTTTTGAACTGCCACCAGAACAAACCTTTCTCGACCCAAATGAGCCTTACGTTACAATCTCCTATCAAGTTAGATATGAAGAGTGTGTTAGACAACATCCCCAAACTCTCTCTCTCTCTCTCTCTCTCTCTCTCTCTCTCTCTCTCTCTCTCTCTCTCTCTCTCTCTCTCTCTCTCTCATTCCATCCTCATACCAGCACAAACCATTCATAAACTAAAAAAGTATAGATGAGCAAAATAATAGAAGGTGCGAGGTTCCCCACGTTTGTGTGGTTGAACAGGAAGTGCCCACACACACGTCTGTCGCCCAAGTGGCACACTTAGGTAAGGGAAAGAAAACAACATACCTAACACAGAAGACTCCACCAGCAAGAAAGCACCGACCAGAGGCAGCGTAGTCCTCCTGGTCAGCCCACAAGCACAGTGGGGCTAAAGCACCTCAAATTCTCTCTCCTTTCCTCAACAAATCATAACAAACCATCCATAGCGAAAAAATATAGATAGACAATATAATAGAAAATGCAATGTTTACCCAAGAGCCTAGCTCAGTGGGTACACCCATGAACTGTTGAAATACAGACCCAAGTTCGAATCCAGATGATGGAACTTGACAAGTAAAACCAACTACTAATGAATTGCTTGGGGCCGGTCAGCTCAATGATAATATCTCAAGGCCGTCGCCCTTTAAAAAAAACAAAAAAAAAATGCAATGTTGGCCATGCTTGTGTGTTTCAAGTGCCCACACACCCGTCTGCCGCCAAAGCGGCACACTTGCACATATACATATATATATATTTCATAATCCATAAACGGATGGAGGGCAAAAGGCAACTTACCGAAGACAGAGGACTCAACCAGCAAGAAAGCACCGACCCCATCCACCATAGGTCCGAAAAAACTTGGAGAGCCCTCCGCATCGGCCCACAAAACCACAAACTTAGCTAACCCAATAGCATAACACAAAAGGCTCCACTAACAAAAAACACTGACCACACATGCCAATGGTCTAAAAGAATTGTAGAGCCCTATGCAATGGCCTACAATGCCACCACAAATCAGAAATACACCGCAGGACCTCTACGCAACACCAAGAGTGGCATGAACCTCCCCCTCCCGCGCAACCTGCAGAATCGGATGATGTCCTAGAGCTACAGCGAGGCCACTGCGAGAACTATGCCAAATTCCACAAGATCTCCAGGCGACAACAGGAGATATTGTGGCCAAAACCCCAAACTCCCTCTACTTCTGTGTGTGTGTGTGTGTGTGTGTGTGTGTGTGTGTGTGTGTGTGTGTGTGTGTGTGTGTGTGTGTGTGTGTGTGTGTGT